TGTTTTAGATATACTTTATATGATTGTTCTAGGATTGCATTATATAATATTTTTTTGTTGTGCAAGTAATTTTTTTTCTTGTTTTAAAAATACAATTTTTATTATAGAAATTGATAAGTTTAGTTGAGAAAAGTTTATATTCATATGTATTCTCAGGTTTGTTGAATTCAAATTTTTTAGAAAAAAATTTTAAGAGATTGAAGATAAGTTCTTTATGAATCTGAGCTTTGATATATTTGTTTACTTCATCTTTATCAGGAGTTGCAAAAAATTGATGATAATATATAGTAAATACTAATTCAAACCACTTGTTTAGGTTGGTAAAGGAATCATTAAGTGAGGGTATATTGAATTTTTTAAGAAAGATATAATAATATTAAATTTCTGGTCTGCTTTGAATGAAAAGATTAATTTATCTTCATTGATTGATTCAATTTTAAAGGTGACTTTAAAGTTTTTAGTCTAAAGTTAAAGTCTTTAGTGAATTTGTTATAGTTGATAGTTTGGTAGTTGTTTGATAGATAGAGATATAAATATGCTAGATTTTGATATACTTGTAGTCTGTTATCAGATTTGTATAGTGGAATAAATACATTCTCACTATTTTTAATTACAGAATTCAGTAAAAAATTTTAACAAAACTTTAAAGAATACACTTTCAATCTAGATGGAGAATAACAAGTAAAGAGACTAAAGTATTGGCCTTCTTATAGTTACCTATACTATAAATATTTATTGTTCTAGATCTACTAGTTATATACTATATAAGTTAGTTTTGGTTAGCATCTGTTATGCTATTTTAATCTAATTAAGGAATGAAAATTGCATAATATTATTATAGAAGAAGATTGTCTAATTTAATTGAAAGTAAAAAAAATTCAAAAGATAAGAATAACAGTAATTATAATTTTAATAATATGAATGATTCTGATAAAAATATCATATTTTAACAATATGATTACAGCTCTAAATATTCAAAAAAAAAATTAATAATAGTATATTTTATGATAACAGCAATAATAACAGCATGCTTTATAGTGCAAACAATAATAGCTGCATATTTTATGATATAACTAATTTTTTTTTTTTAATATATTGGCAGCCTCACCAGTATCTTTATTAGATCAAAGCAGAATACTTATATTCTATACTATCTAAACTACAGATCTGATATCACTCAGCTTCCTCTAAGGGCGTCCAAGTGTGGTTTGCCTCACTAGTTAAAGCAATTGCCTATACCAGAGGGCTGTACCAAGCTAGCCAGTGAAACCAAAATAAGATGATTTCAAAACAAAAGAATTTTTGACTACATCTAATTAACAATTTTTCTTTACTAAGCTATTTTTCTTTTTATAGCAACAATCTAAATTTAATTTTTTCCTAACAAGAAATTCTATTTTATCTCTCAACAAAGAGAAATTGCCAGAATTCTTTTGATTATATTTATGTTTTCTCTTCCTCTCTTCTAGTTAAATTTATCTTTTCCAGTAATTGGACCAGCTCTCAAGAGTCTTCTTATACTTTTTTCAATGACCTTTTCTTCTTGCTTCATAGTGCCGAGGTGTTCTTTTACTTCTTGAAAGCTCATTCTACTGTGTCTTTCTCGATATATTCTTCTGTAAGCTTTCTTTTCTTCAAAATATCTTGGGCCTTCCTTTGGTCTTTCCACTTCTGAGTTATGAATAGTTTGCTCAGATTCTACTTCTTTCCTGTACTAGGTTTGTAGCTTTTCTTTTTTTCTCTTTTTTACTTTCTTCTTTTTCTTTTTCCCCTAGGCCTTGGTTTTCTTTCTAAGAAAACTTCTTGTATTTCATTCCACATACTTCAGTTTTCAAAGATTTCTACAAAGATCTTCTCTAATATCTTTATTTACATATCTTTTTCTTCTTTTTTTTCCAGTTCTTAGTTCACTTTCGCCTATGTACTAATATATCTTGAATCCAATTCATGTTAGTGGTTCTTTGGGTCTTCAACAACTGTATCTATTTCATAAGCAGATCTTTCTTTTTCAATTTCCATACTCTACTATTATTCTGTATATCTATAATACTTAATTTGTATATTACTTCGATCAACCACTCTGTTGGATTTGATAATTTGGCCTTTGGTCTTGGATCTTCTTGGAGTATATCTAGGGTTTCTACTTTAACAAAGCCATCAGTATTTTGTCTTCTAGCTTCTTTTCTTTTCTTTTTTTGGCCTTTCTTTTTTTCTCTCTTGTTTTGCTAACTCTAGCTTGGCCGATACTTTGAAATTTACAACTAGAGTTCTTAATTCTATTTTGTTGTTTTGCCTTTGTTAAATTTTTCTTTGTTTCTGAAGTTTCTTGCTCCAGCCTGCTTCTAATTTTAATTTTATTTTAGCTGTTTGTTTTTCTTTTGCATGATTTGTATATTCTTTTCTTTTGCTTCTTTAATTTTCTTTTGGTCTCATGATGTGTTGCTACAGAAGACTTGACAGATTCTTTGAATTGTTATACTATAGATTTCAGGGCTGTTTTGTTGTACTGTTTTTGTTGGCTACTTCTTTGTTCTTGGAGCCTCTTGCTTCAACCTAGTTTTATTTTCACCTTTACTTCAGCAACTTGCTTTTTTCTATCTATTAGTCTTTTCTTATTTCATCACCTAGTCTTACTTCCACTATGATACCATATATTTCTTCTTTTATAATGCGGTTAACAGAGTCTTCACCATCTTGCATTACTTTGTAGAAAATCTCCTAATCTCTTTCTATAAGTGCAGATGTTGTGTATTTTAATTCTCCTCTGTTGTACTGCCATAGCTCTTTATAAAGCTCTTTTATTTGTTTATTGGCTAATTCTTTTGGAATGGGTTTCTGTCTAGTATATTCTGCCATTATTTCTTTTATAGTTTCATCTATGTCTTCTTTAGATGTTTTTGCTATTAGGGTCTAGATTTTTTTTAATACCACTTTCATCTTTTCAGGTATTTCAACTTTTTTTCCTAGACACTCTGTTATTATTTGCTTTACGTGACTTGTTGTTTTTCTATTGTTATCAAAAGACGTTGTTGTTTGCTACACATGTTTAATGGCTTTGTTTACTTTCATCATATAGTTTTTGTTGTGTTTTCTTTATTTACTTTCCATTATGTGTTATGTTTTTTGTATCACCAAAACAGATCTATGATTCAGAGTAAAGGCCAATTCCCCAAAAATTCATAAAGTGCAAAAAAATATCGATGATTTTTCACAACTTATTCTATTTCTTTGCTGGTTCTGCTTCTTCTACTCAAGTTTCCTAAGAGACTGAGTATTTCTTGTGGTTCTCTTTCTTTTTTCTTAGAATTTCAAGTTTAGTTTTCTAGTGGCCTTGGTGTGTTTTTTGTAGTTTTTGTAGTTTTGTTTTTTCTGAAAATTTGTGTTTTGATGATCAGCAGAAAGAGTTAGATTTTAATGTTTGTTTATGATATAACTAATAATGACAGTATGTTTTGTATTATAACTAATAATAGCAGCATGTTTTGTAGTGAAGATAGTAATGACAGTATATTTTATAATGCAAGCAATAATAATGAAGTTTTTTATAATTGTAACAATTTTAATGATATTAATTATAATAAACAAAATATAGAATCTTGGTAATATAATAATAGTTTTGTGTATATGAAAACAAATAAAAGTAATAAAGACAAAGAAAAGCATGATTCAGATTTAAAGATCTTATATCAGTTTAATTTTTTTTATTCTATAATTTAATACTCATCAACTTATTAATTTTTTTAATTTAGTAAATAGATTTTTTATTTCTAATAGTAAAAAAAGAGCAAAAAATTATACTGATAATGAAGTAAGTAAATTCAGAACAAACAAAAACTATGCAATAACAAAATATTATTATATTTATAAAATTAAACATATAAATTTTTTTACTATAATAAGATATATAATAGTATTAATACTAATCAAGATAAAATGTTTAAACCAATTTAAATATTCAACAGTGGTGCTTTACTAGATAATATACTTTAAGTTTACAATTTTCAGATTATCACCTAATGCAGCAATGCACCAATGTAAATAGTTGCAACAAACAAACTTATTTTGTTAATTATAAAATACTGAAATATCTAATACATAGATAATCTCTAAACAAAATGATATAGCTGATGATCAAATGAAAGACAGAGTCTTTAATTATTGTATAATCTTTTTTTTTATGAATTATAAAATTTAATTAATTTTAACTCAAATTCTTATAAATAAATAAGAAAACCAAGAATTAATTAATATAAGGGATTTTAATTCTAACAAAAAGCATCACTTTCAAGCTCTTCAAGATGTATCAAATAATTCAACCTATCAGTATAATATTTATTGTCAAGTTGCTAATAAGAATCTTAAAGATTACTGCTCTAAAATAGAAAATCAGATGCATACAAGATATAAAATTTATAAACATGTTTATAGAGTCAGCAATTTGGTGAAAATTCAAACTGCTAAAATTTATTCTAGATCTGGTGATCATTGTACACTTCTTGTAAAATATTTTCAGTATTTTCTAATAATAGATATTATCTTGTATGCTGATTTGGCATATTAAAGAATATATTTTTAGCTGGTGAAGTTCTGCCACTTGAACTAAAAGAATTTGTCAATTTGGATAATTCTCCAATTTATAAAGTTATTAGCATCATTGAGGCTGCAAAACTTCAATCCAATTTCTTCATGAGTAATAAAGGATGTAATTGTAGGAGTGATTGTCTTACTGTAAAATGTTTGTGTAGAAAAGTGAATACTTTATGTAGTAGTTAGAGATTAGAACTACCTAAAGTTTTTCTTAATCATTTAATCATTTAACTGTTTAACCATTTAATTTGGCTAGCATTAAAATAATTCTAGCTCATGATCAACATAATTCTACCTGAAACTATAGTGTAATTTTTAAATGGCTAAATGGTTCCAATCTCTAGTAGTAGTGAATACTATCCAAAAAATTCCAAATATAAGAATAGAGCTTAAGAATTAGAAACTGAATATTATATCAAAAAAAAAATTTGCAGAAGGATTTTATTTCAATATAAAATTATGTATTGATTATAAGCTTTTTATTGCTTATGTTGTATGCTAGCATCTTTATACTTCATTTATATTGATATATGGGGTGTCTCATATTAAAAAGGCCCATTTTGTAATTTTTTTGAAAAATGAGTTTTTATTAGATTCATGTAAATTTTGATATGATAGACATTTTTCAATTATGAATGAATGTCAATTTGCATAATGAAAAATGGAGATAATGTAAAAGAAAAATTACATGATGCTGCCTAAGGCCAAGCATGTCACGAGATTACCCAATAATCACCTGCTACCTTTAACTAATCAAAATCGTAAAATTTGCTTAATTCTAGATTAGTCTAAAATCAAAACAACCATTTAAACTAAATTATCTCAAAATAAATTATATGCCAAAATGGGCCTTTTTAATACGAAGCACCCCTATATAGTGTGAATAAAGATTTTTTCCTTCACTACATGTGATTTTATGCTCCATATATGATACAATTCTGGTAAAAAAAAATAAAAAATTGAAATAATAATAGCATGACTTGGCTAATTAATACATATAACGGTGTTAATATTTTATTAATTTGGACTAGTTTAAATGATTAGTATTTATTTTATATTTTATTTTATATTTTATTTTATTATTTTATCTTTTTCATATTTCATATTTTTCTTACTTTAAATTGTTGATTTAATCAGTAAATTTTTTGTGGTAATAGCTTCTCATATACAACAGCAATCACAGCTATTTACTTTAGGGTCATCTTTTGAATCACCATCTTTTGGCAGCAATATTGTGAATAATACTTGACTACTGATATATGTCTATATGAGAAGTATAACTTAAATAGGTATAAAGGTTATAACTACAGTATATTATATTGAAATAAAATTTTACAAATTTAGGCTGAAATGAATAATATTTGAATCAATTTGATTTCGCTTCTTTTAATAGATAATTATAAACTTGTACTTTTATATTGGGACTTTTATATTATCAACTTCTGAAAAAGACCTTTAATAGGTAAAAAATACTATGTATAATTTTATAACACATCGAAATTAGAAAATTTAAAATGCAAAAATTTAATACGTAAGGCAATTAAAATTTAAAATAATAATAATGAAATTTTGTACATATTCAAAAAAAATCTATATATAGTTATACGAATTCATATTGATATTGATACATATGTTTGATCAACTTCCTTATAAGTTATGTTATATGATTAATTAGTTAAGTGGTCTTTAATCCGGGTAGCCTGCTTAAGAATTTTAAATTGGGCCACTCCATCCGGGTACAATATATATATATACTTGCAAATTAAATATTATTTCAATTATTAGTCTGCTTAATCAAGTACATATTTTCTGTTTTAAAATTTTAAATTAGTATCATAAATATTATCAACCACTGAATAAAAGTAATTCTCCAGATTTTGTAACCATAAATTTGACCAAAATTGTTATGTTTTGTAATAAAATTGGGCCTGAATATATAAAATATCTTCAACTAAATTATTCTTTTTTTTTGTAACATATATTTTTTGTATTTGTAGTATTTATTTAACTTATAAAACATTATAAAATAATATCATTATTCAAAACAAATTCTTAACAACATAATGCTTAAATCAAATAAGTTTTGTGTTTAATTATTTTGAACTACAATCTTACGATCTTAATCTTTACTAAAGTAAATGTTGTCTATATTACTAATTTATTACTCAATATCAATTCTATAAACCATGTTCTTTACTAATTATTTAATTCAAATTTATTGTGATTAACAAAATATCGACCATGCTCTAATAATTTTTTTAGCAAGACCGAAGTGTGTTGTATATGATGACTGAAGATTAATTTCACTATATTTCATAGCATCATTAGTCACAACTAATTAATATCAGCCTATATTAAGTACTTTACAAAAATTTGCCAAAATTGAACTTGCTAAAAATAAGCAATTTAATGGCGCTGATAAGGGAAGTGCCAGAAATCACGTGATTTATACCATAGATACATGGTTAGGCAAGAGATCACACATATATATATATATAATATAATATATAATCAAATATAATGAAATATATAATATATAAATTATATATATATTTTAATAAATCTTTAATATTAAATAACT